GCACGCACGCACGCACGCACGCACGCACGCACGACGCACGCACGCACGCACGCACGCACGCACGCACGCACGCACGCACGCACGCAAGGTTTGTTCTGGTATGCATCTGGTGTGTTTCTGTGTCTGTGTCTGTTGTGTGTGTGTGTCTGTGTGTGTTTGTGTCTGTGTCTGTGTGTGTCTGTGTGTCTGCGTGTGTGTGTGTGTGTGTCTGTGTGTCTGCGCGCGTCTGCGTCTGTGTGTGTCTCTGTGCGTGTGTCTGTGTGTGTGTCTGTGTGTGTGTCTGTGTGTTTGTGTGTCTGTGCGTGTCGGCGTCTGTGTGTGTGTCTCTGTGCGTGTGTCTGTGTCTGTGTGTGTGTGTCTGTGTGCGTGTGTCTTTGTGTGTGTGTGTTTGTGTGTCTGCGTGTGTGACTGTGTGTGTGTGTCTGTGTGTGTGTCTGTGTGTGTGTGTCTGTGTGTGTGTCTGTGTGTGTGTCTGTGTGTGTTTGTGTGTTTGTGTGCTTGTGTGTTTGTGGATGTGGGTTTGTGTGTGTGTCTGTGTGTTTGTGTGTGTGTTTGTGTGTTTGTGTTTGGGTGTTTCTGTGTTTGTGTGCTTGTGAGTTTGTGCATGTTTGTGTGTTTGTGAGTTTGCGCATGTTTGTGTGTGTGTTTGTGTGTGTGTTTGTGTGTGTCTTTGTGTGTGTGTTTGTGTGTTTGTGTGTGTTTGTGTGTGTGCTCTTGCGCTTGTTTGTTTGTGTGGTTGTGTGGTTGTGCGGTTGTGTGGGTCAGTGGTTGTGTGGTTGTGTGGTTGTGTGTTTCTGTGGTTGTGTGTTTGTGTCTTTGTGAGGTCGCGCGTTTGTGTTTGGGAGGGGGGGGTGTTTGTGTTCGTGGGTGTGGGTTTGTGTTGTGTGTTTGTGTGTTTGTGTGATTGCACGCAGGTGTTTGTGTGTGTGCGTTTGTGTTTGCATGTGTGTGTGTTCGTGTGTTTGTGTGTTTGTGCGCTTGTGTGTTTGTGTGTGTGTTTGTGTGCTTGTGTGTTTGTGTGTTTGTGGCCTGTGGATTTGTATGTTTGTGTATGTTTGTGTGTGTTTGTGTTTGTGGGGCTTTGTGTGCGCGCCGCGTTGCCTTTGTCTGTGTGTGTGTGTTTGTGCGGTTGTGTGATTGTGTGTTTGTGTGCGTGTGTGTTTGTGTGTGTGCTTGTGTGTTTGTGTGTTTGTGCGTTTGTGTGTTGTGTGTTTGTGTGCTTGTGTGTTTGTGCGATTGAGTGATTGAGTATTTGTGGGTTTGTGGGTTTGGGTTTGTCTGTTTGTGCGTTTGCGAATTTGGGTGTTTGTGCATTTGTGAGGTTGTGCGCTTGTGTTTCTGTGGTTGTGTGTGTGTGTGTTTGTGTGTTTGTGTGTGTGTGTTGATGTCCTTGTGTGTTTGTGTGTTTGTGCGCTTGTACTTGTTTGTGTGATTGTTTGTTTGGTTTGTTCTTGTGTTTGTGTTTGCGCTTGGGTTGTTGTGTGCGTGTTTGTGAGTGTTTGTGTTTTTGTGTGTGTGTTTGTGTTTGTGTGTGTGACTGTTTGTGTGGCGTCGTTTGTGCGTGTTGGTGTGTGGTTGTCAGTGTGTGTTTCTGTGTTTGTGTTTTGGTGCGTTTTGGTGGGTTTTGGTGCGTTTTGTTGGGTTTTGGTGTGTTTTGGTGTGTTTGTGTGTGTGTGTGTGTCTTTGTGTGTTTGTGTGTTTGTGTGTTTGTGTGTTTGTGTGTGTTTGTGTGTTTGTGTGTTTGTGTGTTTGTGTGTTTGTGTCTGTGTGCTTGTGTGTCTGTGCGTGTCTGCGTCTGTGTGTGTCTCTGTGCGTGTGTCTGTGTGTGTGTGTGTCTGTGCGTGTGTGTCTGTGCGTGTGTCTGTGTGTCTGCGTGTGTGACTGTGTGTGTGTGTGTCTGTGTGTGTGTGTGTCTGTGTGTGTGTGTCTGTGTGTGTGTGTCTATGTGTGTCTGTGTGTGTTTGTGTGTTTGTGTGCTTGTGTGTCTGTGTGTGTTTGTGTGTTTGTGTGCTTGTGTGTTTGCGCATGCTTGTGTGTGTGTTTGTGTGTGTGTTTGTGTGTGTCTTTGTGTGTGTGTGTGTTTGTGTGTTTGTGTGTGTGTGTGTTTGTGTGTGTGCTCTTGCGCTTGTGTGTTTGTGTGGTTGTGTGGTTGTGCGGTTGTGTGGGTCAGTGGTTGTGTGGTTGTGTGGTTGTGTTTTTCTGTGGTTGTGTGTTTGTGTCTTTGTGAGGTTGCGCGTTTGTGTTTGTGTGTGTGTTTGTGTTTGTGGGTGTGGGTTTGTGTTGTGTGTTTGTGTGTTTGTGTGTTTGCACGTAGGGGTTTGTGTGTGTGTGTTTGTGTTTGCATGTTTGTGTGTTCGTGTGTTTGTGTGTTTGTGCGCTTGTGTGTTTGTGTGTGTGTGTGTGTTTGTGCGCTTGTGTGTGTGTGCTTGTGGCCTGTGGATTTGTATGTTTGTGTATGTTTGTGTATGTTTGTGTGTTTGTGGGGCTTCGTGTGCGCGCC